TGCATGTAGACAACGCTGATGCTCTGGAATAACCTTCCCCTCCAAATTAGACAAGCGTCATCAGTGCAGGTCTTTAAGTCCAGATTGAAAACCTATTTTTATTCCCTGGCTTTTAACTCTGTAGGAAACTGACACCTTCTTATTTATTTTATTGTATGTAATGATTTTATGGTATTTTTAATTTGGTTGTTGTTTTGATCTGTGTTGTTCAGCACTTTGGTCTGCCTGGTGTGTTCGTAAAGTGCTATACAAATAAACGATGATGATGTTTGGATTCTGTTTTTACATTTATCCTTTACTTTCAAAGCATTATTTAACTGAGGCTGCAGCTGAAAGAATAAAAACGAAGACTCTATTTTATATATTAATGAATCAAAAATGTGGCTGTAACCCATGAGATTCTCCCTTCTTTTAATAACAGAGATGTGATATAGATAAATCTGTTCTTTCCTGGCTTGAAATAGGCTCAATATTTTAATTTATTTGCTCATTTCCAGTCTTACTTTTTCTGCAGCAGCTGCTTAATCTCACCATATTTTTCCCATAGCATAGTTTCAGTTTCCTTTTCAAAATCAGCCACCCTGCTGCCACTGGATGTATACATAATCGGTCAGATGGTGCCAACACCATTCCTTTCCTGAGAACTTAAAAAAGGAAAACCTGGGTTAATTCAACAACTTGATAGCCAGCTTTGTGTTAAACCAGCGGTCCCCAACCCCCGGGCCTCGGACCGGTACCGGTCCGTGAGTCGTTTGGTACCGGGCCGCGAGAGTTGAGGTTCAGGTGTGAAATATATAGTTTTCAGGGTTTTTATCGGTTTTCAGGGTTATTTTGTTATCGTTTTTATTGTTTACTCGGTTTTCCTTGGTCTTTTCACGTGTTTTCTTTTTTTCGGTACCGGTACTAGTTTTATTTTGTTGTATTTATCCGCGACACCTTAAAGGCCGGTCCATGAAAATATTGTCGGGCATAAACCAGTCCGTGGCGCAAAACAAAAAAGGTTGGGGACCGCTGTGTTAGACTAAGTGAATCCAGAAAACAGAAAGATATTTGGGGTATTTATTTTAGTTGGCTCTTTGGACAGGGCTCAGATCTCTTCAGGCAGGCTATTACAAAGCTGAGGGCCCCTGATGGAAAAGCTGTGAACAGACATAGAGCTACAGTCAGGACCCAGACTCAGACAAGTTTTAACAAGGGATGAGTAAAATCTTAAAATCTATTGTAAAATGTTCAGAAAGCCAGTGGAGACAAGCCAAGAGAGGGGTGATGTGATTCTGTCTGCTAAAACCAGTAAGAAGCTGAGCTGCTGAATTCACAACCAGTTGGAAGTGAGACAGTAGTTTTCCATTAGCGAGCAGACAGAGAGGATGGAGTTACAATAGTCCAGTCATTTTAATGTGAGGGGTAAAGCTAAGGGCTGGATAGAAATTAATACCTGAATACCAGTGGGGTTTTTGGAAACAGGCTCAGTGATGTTTAGTGAATAATAGGAATTCTGATTTTGTGGTATTGAGTCACCGAACATTTTTCAATGTTTAACATTACTGAGACTATCCCGAGGTAGTTATCATGAGGCATATATCTGTGTGCCACAGGTATCTTGGTGAGTTTTCAAAATATTATCAAGTAGAAGCAAAATCAGACTGAATTTCAAACCTTGCCACACACCACAGATAATGCGATCTGTAAATAAAGAGAAATCACCTGGTGATAGGTGACGGTTCTCCACCTGTCACACTGCAAAACACTTTTGGAAGAAGATGATGATGAACGCACGTCTGAAGTCCACTGCTGTTCTGACAAAGCAACAAAATGTTTTGACCACCTTTGTTTA